TTACTTATGAAATACTAACAGTATAAATACTTTTAATTTTCCAAGTCATTACCCCCTTATCCCCCAAACATTGCACATTGTTTCCGTTTACCTACACGTACGTACAGCTGTAAGTTATGCTTACGCAGAAAATTTCGATCTGTGTGTCATACATACCACGTAATTTCAGAATAGGTGCCCTTTAGTTATAAAATACTTACAGTATAAATGCTTTATAATTTCGCAGGTTATAACCCCCTTATTCCCCAAACATTGCATATTGTTCCCTTATATCTAGGAGTAGGTACTGTGGAGGTACTTTTTAGTTACAAATAGGTACGCTGTAAATTCTCTTTAATTGCGCGGTACATTGCGGACTGTAATCTAAAGCGTTACCAACTTCTCTTCTTCTCCAGACTCACCTTATGAGACTCCACAGCCTCTCTCAGCTGCTGAAGATCTTTCTCTCTCTGCTGGATTCTCTGCTGGAACGTCTTCTGCGTCTCCTTCAGCTGCTTCTGCAGGACAAACAAATGACAGTAAATATTACAGAAAACTACTGGCACTAAATCATCATGTGAACAGAGGAATCCAGGAAAAGTGGAACTGATAACTAATGGTTCTAGGTTCAAACTCCAGAAGGGATGATCGTTTACCACCATCGTACATGAATTAACATGAAGATTAAGGCCTGTTTCACAATACAAGAGTAAGTATTATAAAGGTGAAACTGACACAGACATAGAGTTTCAAATTGAAAGTGTTTCTGTGTTTTGTGTAATTAAGCTCTGACTCTATACAGAAATAAACAGACTATTGGATCACTACACTGAGTATTAACTTGATCGCTAGTATTAATCACCTGTTTCTCTGTCCTCTGTGCTGCAGCTGATACAGTGTCATGGTTTTTATGTTCATCCATCGTACACAGCACACATATACATTTCTGGTCAGTGCGACAGAAAACCTCAAGGAGCTTCTCATGTTTCTGGCAGATCATCTCCTGCAGTCGTCCAGTGGCATCAGTCAAATTGTGTCTCTTTCCTTTAAACCAACTCTCATGTTGTTCGAGGTGATTCTGACAGTAAGAGTTCAGACACGTCAGACAGGACTTGACGGCTTTGTATTTTCTTCCAGTACAGACGTCACACTGCACATCTCCAGCTCCAGCGTAACAGTCAGCGGGTAGTTTAGTCTTCTTCAGTTTCTCCACCAGATCAGCCAGCATGGTGTTTCTAGCTAAAACAGGTCTTGGACTGAAGGTCTGTCTGCACTGAGGGCAGCTGTAGACTCTCATCTGATCTTCCTGATCCCAGCGGTCTGTAATACAGCTCTCACAGTAACTGTGTCCACACTGGATGGTCACTGGATCCTTCAGGAGATCCAGACACAACGGACACGAGAGCTCATCCTGAGAAAATCTGGCTTCTGCCATTTTACTGTATGAATACAGAGACACAACACACAACAGCTCAACTACACTTTCATTTTCTTTTTCCCTTAAGTCATGTGATTCCTGTTTCCTGGTTCTGTGTTTGAGAGACGTGTGTAAAACAGGTGTGTCTGCGAGTCTGTAAATCATGAAATGTCTACTAGATGTCAGTCTCAGACAAACACCCAAAGAATACAAGTTACAGAAAAGCAGGACAACAGCCTTAAAAATGTGACCAGCCACCATCCACTGTTAGGCAATGCTGGGTAGATTAATAACAAATTGTAGTCTGTTACTGATTACAGATTATATGATGAAAACTGTAGTTAGTAACATAATTTAGGTTACTTATTTTATTTTTATTTATTCGGATTACTTTTTTTTTAATCAAACTTGTTTTAAACTTAGCATTAAACGTACCATTTCAGTCAGGTGCACTTCGTCAAAGTTTATTTATTACAATTATATAGCATACAGTTAGTGTTGGCGGTATGGTTCTGTGCTGGGCAAAACTCCCCATGCCTGTCCATGCAGCCATGCTTGGACAGAGCGGGGAAAGCAGCAAGTCAAAACCCCAAAACAAACCATATGTTGATACCCCAGCACAATTAATGCGATTCAATGGTCAGTGACAGGAAATGATGGCTTAATGATCATATTTATGGAGGAAGCATCACCCCAAGCTCAGCAAGCGAGGACATGCAATAAGCATGTTGCTTTGAGCTGCTTAGCAATCGAGGATATGCAGCAAGCATGTTGCTCAAGCTGCTTTAAAGCAAATGTGTGATTGTAAAGGGGGAAGCGTACACCCCTAGCAGCCGCAAGGTAAATACAACAAGCATGTTTGAGACCATCGAGAAGCAGACGGATAGATGGATGCCCCAAAAGAATGCAGACGGATGGATCCAAGCATCTGCCTGAAACCTGACTTTTAATGGAAGAGGGCTGCATTTTTTGTGCTAAATGACAGTGTATTATATATGAACATACAATAGCAATATTAACAGGCAAAACAGAAACTGAAAAGGTGGGGCAAAAGGTTGGCTAGACTTGATCTCATGTACAGTGAAGCTGCGGAAAGATAAGACTGCAGAGTGGTGTTTAGTCGAGGACAGTCAGGGCGAATGCTGGGCAAGGCAGGCACATAGTTTTGGCATCTGGGCACATAGTTTTGAACTCCTGAAATTTAAAACGAAACAGACAGTCAGCTATTTTGTTATCGAGGCCAGGTATGTGAGCAGCGTGGAGCGTAAAATTG